GTTCCACCAAATGCAGATAACAAAAAGAGAATCAATATAGCTATATGTACTTCAGTGACATCAACTTTGCCAAATTTCAGCATGCCTAATACATATGTTTGCCAATGAGCGCAATAAAACAGGAACATCCCAACAAAGAAATAGAAAACAGCCAATCTGGATTTGTTCCAAGGCGAACTGTTATGCAGGTTCCAACAAAACTGTGGAAATTGGGTCACAGCCATGGTCAAATAGTCCCCCCAAAGGAAAGCTTCTGTTTGTTCTTCTGGCTTCCTTCCTTCAATAGAATACAATGACTGGTAAATAAAGTGCCCTAATGCACATAGAAGAAACAATCAAGAAGAAGCCTGCCCAGTGATGCTGGGGTAGGTGGCAAGGAGGTCCAGCGTGGGGAGGAGGTTGAGGGCCAGGCCCCCAAGGATGATGGCATTGGGGGGCAGCCAGGGTGGGGTTGCACTCTACCAGCAAGGCCCTGTAGCTTTGCAAAGGGGCCTCCAGCAGTGAGCACTCCAAGGCAGCATAGTGGTACTGCTCCAGGTGCTTCAGCTGCAGAGTGCTCAGTGGCTCCATAGCAGCAGAGGCTCTGAGCCTTGCCTTTGTAGAGCCTGATAGGCTGGAGCAGCTTTCCTCTTTCCTTCTTTACTTCCTTCCTTCTTTGCTCCTTTCCTTTCCTGCCTCCCTTCCTCTCTCAATCTCCCTGTTACCATCCCATCCTTCCTCTTCCTTCCTTCCTTCCTTCCTTCCTTCCTTCCTTCCTTCCTTCCTTCCTTCCTTCCTTGCTCCCTCCTTGCTTCCCTCCCTCCTCTTTTTCCTCTTTCCTTCCTTTCTCGTCACCTTCCTTCTTCTCTCTCCCTCCCTCCCTCAATCCCATCTCTTCCTCCCTCCCTCCTTGCTTCCCTCTTTCCTTCTTTTCTTCCTCCTCTCCCTACTTCCTTCCTTGCCCCCTTCCTTCTTTTCTTCCTTCCCTTCCTTTCTCTCCCCCTTCCTTCCCCCCTCCCTCAGTCCCACCTCTTCCTCCTTTTCTTCCTTGACACCCTCGTTGCTTCCCTCCTTCCTTTATTCTCTCCTTTCTCCCTTGCTTCCACATCTCCCTCTCTCCCTCCAGCCCTCCATCCCTTCTTGCTTCTCGCCCTTCCCTTCCCTCTCCCCTTCCTTTTATCCCTCCTTCCTGCTTCCTTGAATAATAATATTAGCTCCAGTATTATCCAACTTGTAAAGACAAGGCAAGCTCAAAAATCACATTGATGCAAGACCAATTTAATTTTCTATTTAAAATGTTATTTTTATATTATAATAGTACTTTTAATTCATGTTACTGTTAAGTTTAATGAATATGCTAAAAGTGTTGATTAATGTTTATTTTTAGATTAACACAGTTTATTACTCTTGAACCTTGTGGTCCCAGCTATGTCTAGCCAGAGATGTTATATTGTTACAAGAATGGATATGCTGCCAGGAATCTAGAGGGAGCTTTGCCCATTTGGGGAGGGGGTTAGATCTCAAGACCTGGTGCTCAGTCTCCAGTTTTCTAGAGCCATCTCCAGGTATGCCCAGCTCCAGGCAAAAGAAATGGACTACATTCAAATCTCCAGCTCAATTACTAAAACAGCAGCAGCTTGCTACAATTTGCAAAATGTAATTGATTTATTGCTGCAACTTGCAAAGACTCTCCCGAGGATCTCTGTATTTATTTAGGTAGCTTTCTCTTTCCCTGACAGTTGTTGTAGCACCAGGGCTCATTGATCTCTGCATCCACCTTCTGGCTAGCAGTATGTAGGCTACATTAAATGTTCGTTCTCCCTAGATGAAAGGAATAATCCTTGATCTGGGAGCAGCTGAGATTTCTATGTTAACTTCAAACAGAAGACTATGGGCCCTTCCACACAGTCATATAACCCAGAATATCAAGGCAAATAATCCAAAAAAATCTGCTTTGAACTGGGTTATCTGAGTCCACATTGCTATATAACCCAGTTCAAAGTGGACAATGTGGTATTTTAGACAGTGGTGTGGAAGGAGCCTTATAGAAGCCTTTAGCCTCTCTGCCTTAGAGTATTGATGCCTCACTGAAGGCCCTTCCACACAGCTCTATATCCCAGAATATCAAGGCGGAAAATCCCACATTATCTGAGTGTAGAGACAGATAACCCAGTTCAAAGCAGATATTGTGGGATATTCTGGGATATGGAGCTGTGTGGAAGGACCCCAAATTACAAATCCCAGGGTTCCATGTCATTGAGCAATGATAGTTAAAGTGGTGTCTGACTGCATTAGATGTACAGTTTACATGTTTCCTAGGTCCTGGAAACTCAGGGTCCAGGATGATCAAGAACTCTAGGTTTTATTCCAAAAACAAAAAACCCACCGCCTCACATTTTTTTCAAAGTTTTGAATCATACTTGGTAAGAAGCTATATAAGATTTTTTATCCTATGTGCTGAGCCCTGTTCCAACTCAACTTTCATCTTGACTTGTCCAAGCTGTTCCAATACCCTTTGAGCAGGGAAAAGACACTCTCAAAAATGCCCCTTTATCAGAGACACAGTAGGTACAGGTAATGTTTCCCCCAGCAGAGTTTACACAAATTTCTGGGTATATAAACAGTCCTCCACCAAGTAGACACCAACATTTGCTAGAGGTATGACACTCAAGCACAAGCAGACTGCCTATATGAAAACAGCAACATGGCCTGTGAAGTCACACCTTATATGGAAAGGAAAAAATCAGCTTCTCTCTGTCACCACTATTCCTATATGACTGTTATTATTATTGAAGCCAAATGACACCTGGTATGGTGGAAGTAGTAGTTTTTATTATTAAGGAGAAGAACTGAATGAAGCTTTCATTTGCTTCCAAATCCTACTCCATGACAGATCATGTTAAACATATCATCCATATTTGCTTTCTTCAAAGCCATTCTCTGCAAATTGGTATTTCTTGCTACTTCTGGAATTTTGGGGTCTAAACAGTAACTTCTCCCTCTTTCTTGCTGCATTTGAAGCATGATGACTTCTTTTCGATTATTCTATTTTGGATTATAAATATTTTCAACATTATTATTATTATTATCCAAAGCTGCTTACATTAACAGCATATCAGTACAATTTAAATTTTGCAAATATAGAAACATTAAAACAGAATTAAATTTTAAACAGAGACTAGACAACCATCTATTGGGGTGGTTTTGAATGTGATTTTCCTGCTTCTTGGCAAGGGGTTGGACTGGATGGCCCATGAGGTCTCTTCCAACTCTGTGATTCCATGATTCTACGAAATACAATTGGCATTTTAAAATTCAACTAAAATCCATAAAAACATCTTCAAAACTAAAAACCACAGCACCTCTGACTTGATCTTTAAAACGTTCTTCTTTAAAAGCCTGCCTGAATAAAAAGGTTTTAGCCTGCCTCCGAAAGGACAGCAAAGAGGGGGCCATTCTCACTTCCCTGGGCTCCCTGCCCAGAGTCAAGCGGCAGCCAACAAGAAGGCCCTCTCTCTTGTTCCCACCAGCCGAGCTTGAGATGCAATACATCTCTCTTTAATCCTGGATACTTTAGCCTTGACAGCCAGCATGGTATGGTGATTTGAGCATTGCACTATGACTCAGGGAGGAGGGAGCAAGCTTGTTTTCTGCTTCCTTGGAGACTAGGACGCGGAACAATGGCTTCAAACTACAAGAGAGGAGATTCCATCTGAACATTAGGAAGAACTTCCTGACTGTGAGAGCCGTTCAGCAGTGGAACTCTCTGCCCCGGAGTGTGGTGGAGGCTCCTTCTTTGGAAGCTTTTAAGCAGAGGCTGGATGGCCATTTGTCAGGGGTGATTTGAATGCAATATTCCTGCTTCTTGGCAGGGGGTTGGACTGGATGGCCCATGAGGTCTCTTCCAACTCTTTGATTCTATGATTCTATGATTCAGGAGGCTAGGGCTTAAATATCCATTCACCCATGGACGCCCACTGGGTGACTTTGGACTTTGACAAGTCAAGCTATCTCAGCTTCAAGTGAAAGCAGAGGAAAACCACTCTGAAAAATTTTGGCAGGCTTGCCATGGGTCTCCCCAAGTCTGAAACAACTTCAAGGCACACAGCAACAACAAATCTAACCTTCTCATGCACATACCTAGGTAGAGATATAACACACTCAGTTAAGTATGCACACCTAATCATATTAAAGGACTGAATGTTCCTGGCTAAAGCAACTCAGTAATCTTCAGAAAGACTAACTGTGCCACCAACATCAGTGTATCAATAATGACCTTGTCACACAGCTGCAGGAATTGTCCTGCATCATCTCACATCGCTGGGGGTGTGGGGAACCCAGTACCCCATGCCATGCATTGCCTGGCTCCCGAATCAGCTGATACCATGAGGGGAAGAGTCAATTGTGCAGCTTCTTCCCATGGTTTCCCGTGTTGCTGTGGCAGCAGCATGCACAAACTCCACCCTACTTCAACCACGGATACCCACTAGTGTCGTTTGATGGGAGCTGGTGGGCTCCATGGGTGATGTAGGGCAGACCTAGCGAATGCTGCTAAAATCCTGCCCCCATGTGATGAGGTCATTAATCTCTGCAAAATGGGCTTCTGCTGCTGATAGAGCCTAGGAATCGAGCCAAATGCTTTCAATATGCCACACCTTTGTAGCATGGCATTAAATGGATCCAGCCAACTGTATAATTTTGCTTTCTATGGCTAGAAGCCACTTGCACAATTACTCTTGTACAATTTACCTCATGGGATAAATTTACTTGTCTATATACAAGTACATGCATATAGTAATGCAGACAATATATAAACAGACACGTTATGTTATATCCTCTTTTTCCAACAATGAATCTTTTCAGTTAGCATGGATTCTAAAATTCTTTCATTAAAATGTGTTTTTTTTTTCTATCATGGGGTATGTTTACTTTTTAAATGTATATTATTGTTATTTTAAAAATAATTTTTAAAAACCTCAACAAACCAAATCTACCATACCAAAAGAGATGTCAGGTCTTACTTCAAATGGGAGCTCCATTAGTTCTAGATTTCCAGACAAATCCAGTTTTTCCATATTCTCACAGTCTCCTAGTTCTGGGGGAATACTCTTCAAGCGATTGAAACTCACATTCAGCTCTTTCAGTTTTTTTAAACAACCTGCCAAAATAAATGATCAAAAATCAGCTGAACTATCAGTCAGTCAATAAAAGAGACACAGTCATTCTAGTAAAGAGAAGGAAATAGACTTGACATGAATGCATCCATTAAAAGAGTAGTAATAATTAAGACAATTGCCCAGTTAAAGCCATTTTAGAAATGGAAGGACATCACAGGGGTCATGGGACACTGTGATCTTTCTGCCCTTCATGAGTAGAAAGGGAAATCCGACCACAGAAACATAGACAAACTGTAGATTTTCTCCCTTGAAGTTTCACTTTGCTGGTGGTGCTCCATGGATAGCAAGAACAAAAGGGGAACATTTTCAAGAAGGTTGAAGAAAACTTTGCATCTGTCAAATTTTTGATGGGAAGAAGACAAAATCAAATGGAAATCTGGCAGTTCAGTGATTTTTTAGGGGAAAAGGATAAGGAAATGGTCTCATGCCCCCTTTTCCTTCCTGGACAACCAATCAACAAGCTTTCAAGACACTACTTTAAAAAAAATGGTTGTTGAAACATTTTTCTGTTATTGCTATATCAAAATGCATTACAAACCAGAGCATAAGAAACACTAAATTTAAATATATGTTGTTCAAAACATACTCAGAAATATGCTGGGTTCAAATAATTTTCACCCTACACACACAGTTATATACACAGTCCAAGATATTTCAGTTAAACTATTTCACAATGCTAATATTTAGAACTTATATAGCCCAGAGTACTTGAAAAAATAGTGGACAAGTATACATTGGTAAAACATTCCCTAGATTCAGTAGGTAAACAGTATATCACAGAACTTTACCAAAAGGTTTAATTTGATGTATACTGTGTCTTAGATGAAGATAAATATAAAAGATGCAAAATGAGATATTCTTACATTTAACTGTCAAAATTTTAAATATGATCATTATCCGAAAGCAAAGGTCAACACCAGACAACAGAGTAAACTAAGCCACACATGTGACAAAGAAGATCTCTTGCATTTTTGCATTCTATTCATGCTCTAATTGGGCAGAGTTTGATAATTGAAAATTATTGGACTACAACTTCCAGAATCCCTTAGTCCTAAAACCTGAATTTAACGGTGAGAGAGACTGTTGCTAGAAATATTCACCTTTAAATGATACAAGTCTATATGGGAGAGAAGAGAGATTGTCGTAAGATCTGAGTCCTGTTTGATATAGCTTGCAAGGAAGCTGCTCTTCAAGGCATGTCTCTTGATTTAAGATAGTTTGCTCCCATTAAAGCCAATAGGACACAATTAGACTGAACTGAAACATTCCAACTTTAAGTGGTTAGTGGCTATGAGTATCTCTATGTATACAAAAGGACATAAATTAAAGAATTAAACAACTAGCATCTCTTTGTACCTTCAGAGACAAAAGCAGAAGCAGTTAAAGCAGTAATGAAATCCAGTTTCCGTGGTAATTTCATGCCTGAGAATATTTTACTTTTAATTAGTAGCTACAATGCCATCCCAGTCAATCCGAAGGCATGATTTATTCTCACTTTTACTTCTTTGTTTTTTAAGAAAAAAGATTATTAAATACATTAAAACCAGTAATTAAACTACAGCTTTTAATTTTTAATAGGCAATAGTTGTTATCTTTGTGGAAAAGCAGCTTCATAATATAGAAAAGCTGCATTAGAGCTCCTAAGTGGCTGTTAAGAAAACTGTAAGTAGAGATAATTATAAAGCCAGTTTTGTAACCTAAAGCCTTTTTGAAAAAGAAACATTCTTGTCATTTATGCTACTAAGTGGCTGTTGCTTGACTGTTATCCATAAGCACTTCCACCACCACCACCATTCTTCATTTGCTGACTTCTATGGTGTCATGGAAAGTTATAAATCACTTAATGTAAAGGTGCACGGTCTAGAAGGTGAATGAGATGAAAGAGAATCTGGGCCCTTCTATACATGCATTAAAACCCAAGGGGAAGCGGGTTAAAGGGAAGAGGGTGCCTAAATGATGTTTAGCCAAAGTGTGGGAGGAATCAAGCCAACACCACAAGGACATAAGCATGCATCATCGGGGACATTATTATACCTCCCCTCTAATAAGGCTGAAGGTAATACATTAAATTCTGCTAGGATGAATGCTATTCTGTATTTTGGTAGGGTTGAAATGTTAAAATGACTTGCTAACATAAAAGACTAACCACTGTTTCTGAATTCAAAATATATAGTAGCTGCACTTGCATGGTACTGCAGCTCATTATCTATAATTTGCTGATATATTTCCTGTTTTGTTTTCATGTATCCCGTTGCCAAAATAGTGGTTCATGAGAAACCCAGTTTACTTAGTTTCTCATCCAGTGTCTTTTCCCATCTAGAACGGTACGTGTCAGTTAATACTAAGGGAGCCAATCCCACTGGGATTAAAAAAAACATTTTTAGCCAGAAATTTAATTTAAGGATCAATGCCTGGGACTCAAGTGAAATTTACCCTGTTTCTAAGTGCATTTTGCACACAACTTGAAAGGCCAAGGATAGATCTCAAATATTTTGTGTGTGGATTACATGGCAGCAAAATTACACCGCAATGAGTCGCCCTTGGGCTGAGAATTGCGGTATATAAGCATAGTAAATAAATAAATAAATAAATACTATATGCACACCATTGTGCACCATATAGCATCTGTGGCAATATCTTAGCATTGAAGGCTTGTTGTCCTCCTTTAACAAAAAAGAAGGATGTGACTTGATACTTCTCTGAGCATTTGCAATGGCATTAGTAGATTGAGCTATCCGAGAACCTGAGGCTTGAAAAGTCACTCCCAAATATTTATAAGATTTGACCTGCTCAATTGCTCACTTATTTGCCACTTATGTATACTCAATTTCCTAGTAAACACTAGGACTTTGTGTTTATTGTAGTTAATTACTAGATTTTCTATTTTGCAATAACTACCCAAAGCATTTAATAACTGCCACAAGCCAATGCAATTTAAATAGAGAAGTTCCATATCATCTGCATAAAGGAGAGTTGAGAAAGGTCTACTTGCTAAGCTAAAAGGATGGAAATTTGAAAAAGAGAGATTCCTAGCCAAAGAGTTAATGCAAATATAAAACAAAGGAGGCACCAGCACACAACCTTGTCTTACACTTGCATGTGTTGGGATGGCCTTGATCAAGTGGCCTACCTTGTTACATCTCACTTTCAAACATGTTTTTGCATAAAGGCTACAAATCAAAATCAATAGGTGCCTGTCAATATTAGTTATCTACTAGGGCTGGGCGGTTTCGTTCGTTAATTTCGTAATTCGTTATTGATTCGTATTTAAATTAGCTTACGATCCGATATTGAGCCATGCAGGAGCAACTAAAAATCGAAACGAATTTTTCAATTTATTTCGTAATTGTTTCCGTATGTCTGGTGCAAGTTTTATAGTTGTTGTTTGTTTTGTCAGTGATAAAAAAATAAATTATCACACCAACAGTCAACATAAGAGGGAGAGGGAAGCTTCAGAAGTTCCCCCTGTCCCATTTGGAGGTTTTTTTAGCGTATTGCGCAATTGCGTCCGCCATTAACGAATCAATTCAAAAAAATTTAAAAGAAAAATTCGGAATTCTTTTAAAAAACGAAACGCAATGGACCCCCTAAAAACGAAACGAGTTTAGAAACAAATTTTTCCGTTGTTACCCAGGCCTATTATCTACCACATCTGGCACAACCTGTCTCAGAGAATCATATCAAATGCAGACTTCAGGTCAATGAAGGCTGTATAAACGGCTCTCTTGTTCCTAAATGAATATTTATCCATAAGATGGTGTAAAACTACAACATGATCTCCAGTAGAGCATGCCAGTCTAAAACCTACCTGCTCATCTCTTCCAACCAGACTGATAGTTTTCAAAAAGGTGGTGAGCATACAGCTTGCTGATTACACTTAGCAAGCTAATTGGTCTTTAGTTTTCAGAAGCTGATCTTTTCCCTCTCTTATCTACTGGAATAATGATAGTGAGCCCCCAGTCTTCTGGTATACATGAAAACTGATCTATGCACATGAACAGTGCTGCTAGAACTGTGGCCCACCAACTCTTATTTACTAGAAACATCTCAGGAGGGATATTGTCACTCCCTAGTGCTTTACCCACCTTAAGCTTAGAAATAAGACTATTGATTTCAGAGGTGTAGACAGGGGGAAGTTATCTAACTATGTAGGGAGAGGAAATATCCTTTCCTACCCAGATATTATTCTTCCACTTACATTACAGCAGTCTAGGATTTCTGCCAACATGGATGCAAAATATATCCCAATTAATGGTTTTACATGTTCTCTGACTCTGCAGTTTAATACTATGTAGTTATGTCGTTTCGAGCTGTCTGTCGATCTACCATGCAAAATATCTCCTATGCAATCTGAATTCTGGCTGTTCTAATAGCATAAAGATGTTGAAAAGACCAGATGAGCTTAAAGTACTTGTGACTTTTAGAACCATACCACTCATTCATTTCTGAAAAACACACCCACTTGATTAGAAATAAGCAGTTCATCATGGTATATTGTGCTAGTTAGAGTATGTAAGCTACCTATTTTTCAAGAGGTCTTTCTTGAAGAGTATGAAGAACACAAGACTGAAATACTTTTTATGCTGATAACTTCCCTCCCCATTTTTATATAACAAATATCTCAAGAAATTGTGTATGTATCACCTCAGGAAACAAGGCTACCTTTAAAAAAGAGAGAACTTCAGATAGCATCTAATTTGGGAAAAGGATTTGATTTTTATTCAATTCTCCACTGCCACCTTGTGGAACACTTAGACCCATTAAGCCTGTTGGTTGGTTTCATCCTAAAGATCAAAATACTGTGAAAAAAGCTTGATTTTTGTTTTGTTTCATCTCCATAAATTAATTCTTCTCCCTTGTTTATAGTTTTGACTGCATTTAGCTTCCAGATTACTCATAAAACACATCTTGCTTTCAGCTGGCAATTATATTTACAAAATATAGTGTTCATAAATAAATAAATGGGAAATCTAACCTGGCAGTACATTCTAAAAAATAATTAGCTGAGAAAATGAAGAGTAAATCTCCCCCATGATCTGGACTATTAAAAAATCTGGAAGCTAAGTGCAAATGTTTTAGATGTGCAAAGAAAAGCATACTTTGATTGTATTTCATTCCTGACTTAAGTGAATTAACTTCCCTTGTTTCTGAAAGGATTCTATAATAAAAACAAGCTTCTTAAATGGAAATAAATGCATAACTGTCTTCCTTCAAACAAAGAAAAAATCCTTTGTAACTATATTAGAATCTTTTGCATTTGCACCTTAGTAGAATACCATCATTTATGAGCTTTTTGAAAAATCAGTGTGACTATCATCTAGTCTCTTATGTATGTTGATTTGGATACCCCTTTGGAAAGTTTTTAGAGAATGCTTGATGTCTGTAACTTTGAAACTATTGGTTGTTAAAAGTCATCTGAAAGACTTGAAAAACACACAATTTTAGTCACATTGTGCCATTTGTTGTTGTTGTTGTTGTTGTTTTGTGCTTTCAAGTTGTTTCTGACTTATGGCTCACCGGAACTTGGATGGGAAACTGCTAATGAATATGCCATGTAGGTTATAATTCAGAGGAAGGAACTGGCAAAATCACCTGTGAGTAGTCCTTGCTAAGAAAACACCATGCAATTCATAGGATCACCATAAGGTGATTACTGACTTGGAGGTGTGTGTGGCACACACACAACCACACAGAGGAAACCTATCTTAGAGCTTTCTTCTTCTGAGGTTGAAAATGTGTGCTTTGTTCAAACACATCCAGTGGATTTCCATTGCTGAGTGGGGATTTGAGCCCTGGTCTCACTGAGTCCTAGCCCACCACCACTCAAATCATTACACCACTCTTCCTCTCCTGTACCATTTAGTCTAGAAAAAGGAAAGCCTACCACTAATTATTTTAAAAGCATATTGGCAACCACATATGCATTCAAGCATTGATTATTTTGAGCAGAATCTCAGTGAGATGAATACTTGAATATTTGTTGTAATGTGCTTTGAACTTTATATTGAGATGCAGATATAATGGAATTATTGACTGTACCAGGCAATATTTCACAGACTTCCTGTACTGAAATGGGAGTTAGCTGTCTTATAAAAAGGTTCAAAGGGGGTTCAAAGGTTCAAAAGCTCAAGTAAAACTTTCAGGAAAATTTATTCTCAAACAGGACCAGACAGTAAGTTTTGTATATTTGAACAGATGTTAAGAAAGGGGAGGGGGGACCCACACAAAAACTTAAGAATCAGAACTCACCCAGTACTTTTTCATTTGAATTCTATAATGCTCGGAAGTCAGTTTCATTTTCAGTGAAAGCGAGGCGAAGCCAAAAAGTTGGCCATTCCTCTTTAAATTAAGAAGAAATAGGCTGCCTCTCACCATGAAGAGAGGATAGCAGCAGGGCGGGATTGACTGAGTGAGCTGGGAAAGAGACCGAGAGAGCACAGAATTGTGGGAAATATAGTTTGGGAAGGCAAAGAGCCCTATGCCAGAGAATTCAAAAGGCACTTTCGTAAACTACATTTCCCAAAATTCTGCTCAACATCAGAAAGCCCCAATGAGGATAGGGGAGAGCTATTTTCCCTCCATAGCAACAGCCAGCCAGCCATGCAATTTACAATTCTACGAAGAGGACTGACTGATACTTCAGTACTAGTAAGTAAAGCTATGCTGGGCTGGGAAGAAATCCCTAAATTGATGCTCTAGTGATTAAAGACATTCAATGATACAGCTGTTATGGCTTTTTTTTTAAAAAAGTTTTTGTCAAAATGTTTTTAAAAATCCAAAAATTAGTAGATGTATGAATATTTCTGAAACTTGGGAGTAATGATCCCCTGTTATCTTGTGTCATTGTATAGAAAATTCAAATTCTCAACTACAAATTATCTTGTAGGTTTTTTTAAAAGTTGTTTGTAAACACTTTGAAAATTTCCCAAAAATCAGTGGATGAGTGACATGTTCTGAAACTTGATGGGCTAACAGTGATTATTTTCTTCTATAATCGTAGCAAGTTTCATGACAATAGCTCTAACAATGAGGAAGGAGCCCCTGAAGTTTCCCCATGGGTACAATTACTTAACAAAAAGTAACAGAAAAGTAGTTAACTTATTATAGTTACGATATGGACCCCATCCAATTTCTTAAACATTTTAGAAATGATTTTTCCCCAATTTTGTAATGAGTATTGAAACATTTTTTAATTGATTGCACAGGCCTACCAGACAGCCAACCCATTGAAATATGATGCAATGAAGCTAGACACTCAATTGATGCACTCACTTGATCATGTGTAATTTATGTATACTATTTATGGAACTAGCTGTTCATCTGCTCTATGTTATTTTCAATGGGATGTCTGACATTTGGATAAACATCTTGTTGAAAGTGGACAATACATCCAAAAACATATATGAATACAGTAATTATTTCTGCCACTTGCAATGGCATACACATGTAAGTGTACATTCTAAAGGACCCAGATCCACAATGTATCCATTACTTTTCAATCTTATTAATACTTTTGTATCTTCTCACAGAGATATGTGAAAAATGAGTTGAAAAGTGAGTTGAAAAGGAGCATTAAAGCTTGATCCCATAAGCTTTGCTTCTTAGGCAAGTTCCGTTTAACACTACATGAGAAAAACAATAGAGATATCTGGGTGGACAACTTACCAATTTCAGCTGGAAGATCTGTGATCTGATTACTGGATAACTCTAGTATTTTCAGTTCCTGAAATAAGGCGATGTAGGCTGGAATGATTGAGATCATGGTATTGTTTATATGCCATTCTTGTAGATGTGTTTGTTCTTTCAGTGAATCTGGGAATTCCTATACAGAAAAGATTTCAGATGGTAAAGTCTTCCTTTTTTGGAAAAAAAATCAATGGTCTTTATTTAGAAATTTGTTGGGATGTTTAGATATAGGCCAACATTATCCAAAATGTTGGCCTATATCTAAACTATGTTTCATTATCTGATTCACACCTGTCCAAAGGTTGCAGAAAGTTTGTCATAAAGGTTTCGCCCATATTTTTTACAACATTCACTGTTCCTGGACAAAATGCACTCTAATTTTTCCTAAGGTTTTCTTTTTTAATAGAAAAAAAGGTGGTTTGCTGAGATGGTCCTATGGTCTGGTGAATAAATTTAAACAATCTTTAAACATTTTTTTTTAGAGTTGTAGAATGATAGTTCAAAAGTACATTCACAAATGCACTGTAGAAATGTTATTTGGTTTCTTTGCTAACAAAAAATAGAACCATCAACAACAAATACAACTTCATGACACATTTGTCCTATCTGAAAGAGCCAGTGAGATTTTACGCATGGGCCAAATAGCTGTTGATGAAATTGATACACATCGCAAAGACAGAACCCAGCAAAATGTTACCTATCTTCATCCCAATCCAATTTTGGACCCCTCAAATTGCTCTTAAGTGAAATTTACAGAAAGAAGCGATCTAGTCACAGATGAGAGCCATGGTCTAAATGCCATAAGATTCTAGTATTTTTCACAGGAAAAAGCTCACTTCAACATGTATGTACGTATTTCAAATAATAATATTCCTGGGAAATATGGAAACTGTAAAGTGTAAAGAAATATAATAGCCAGCCTTTTTAAATGAGTTCCTGTTTCTTGCTATCAGAATAATGCAACAGAATGGCTGTATCCCTTCCTATTCCAATAATAATTGTAGGTTAACTCAAGCCTCATCTACATAGACCCTATAATCCACATTTATGGGATTATAAATGAGAAGGTGGCCAAATAACACGTGCCAATAATCTGTTTAGAACTGCTCTAAATAGGGGAAACCCATGTTTAAAAAGATATGAGACTTTACCAGTTTCCCATGCGGTGCACTGGTATGAATCACACCAGTGCATAACTGCATTTAAAGCCTTGGGCATCTCTGCAGCTGTATGTATGTGCAGGGGGGAGGGGGGCAGTGAAAACCTCTGGCAGAGGTTTTTCACCGGAGCAATGGAGACAAGAGGAGACTCTGTAAGATAATGTTTTCTAAAAACCCTCTTTATACTCCGGATCAAAGATCTGTGTAGAAACACCCTCTGTGAGAATTCTAGAAATGCTCAATATACTGATGTATAAGTCTAGAAATTTTGGTCAAACAATCAACTCCCAAAACCTAAATCAACTTATCTATGGATCAATGTGAGTTCTGTAGCTTATCTCTTCTTTAAAAAGAAATAATCTCCTTTTCCAACAACCTCATCAGTTGAGGCTTTTCTTGGCAGCATGCACCAGTGCTATGATAGTTTAACCACAGAGCTCACCAGCTCCCATCCCATGACATGGTACTACTTCCGGGGTGACTCCATGGCCTAATTATCATGGAACCGGCATCTGTCGCCACCTCAGTAACACAGGAGGCCTCCTATGGTGCATTAGCACAATCAGGAGAAGCCAGGTGGCCAACACTTGCCTCCATGGGATGGGGTTATTGGTGAGTCAGGTGATGTGGGGATTGGGGCAATGGGTTCCCCATGCCCCCAACAAACACTGCTAGATTCACCATGATCCATAGCAATTCCAGCAATCTGTATAATAAGGTCATCAGTAGAGTGGCACAAGGCAAGAGCTTAATCTATACGGGAGAACATAAAAGAAGTACTGACCTCCCTCTATTCTCTCTGAAATGTCTCTACTTCTGACCTGTTAAAATGATTGTGTGGTGAAATAACAGTGATGGTGGCTAGGGGAAGCTAGCCCTAAAGTGATATGGATATTTTTCCCTATACAAAGAATAATCCTTGACTTGTCCATGGGTCACATTAAAAATCCATAATTTTGGTCCTGCAACCTGCCCTTGGCTTATATTTGAGTATATACAATAATGAAATAATTTTAAAGGATTAAATAAAGAAAGGAAGGTAAACAGAAAGCAGTTTGTGGTACATTCTAGGAAGCTGGTGTGATGGCTGTACTGTTGTCTTTAAAAGATTAACTGAAATAACTTTATATTAAAGTTAACATATCCTTCCTAGAAGGAACTAAAATAAGTTTTATAGTGTAAAAAACAATAAATGGAAAATAGAAAAAAAAGCAGAAAAATACCAATATGTAAAGGACACTGGAAAACCTATTATAAATGGCTTTTCAGAATGATGCTTACTGTCACATATATGCCTTTGCTTTCCCTGAGCCCAAGCTTATATGGCATTTTAGTATTTGGTTTACAAATGAAAGGAACTGAAATTTACACAGACTTCCTTTTGGCTCTGCTCTCCAGTTCCCTCGTGTTCTTCAATAATCTTCAATCACTACATAGAAGCCAGCAGGAAGCTGATAAATTACTCCTCAAAGAGAACCCCTAAAAATTCCAGTCTTCATCTTTAATGAAAGGACAATGTGGAAACCCACTATATTTACAGTAGCATTTGGAAGCAAGCTATACTGGGTAGTTCTTCTAGCAGTAAATATATTATGTGCGGTCTCTATTGTCAGAGGGGAAACGATTCCCTAATGCAATTTTTGTTGCTGTTGTGTGTCTTCAGTCATTTCTGACTCATGGCAATCCTAAAGAGAACATATCATGGGGCAAAATTTGTTCAGAGGGAATTTGCCTTTATCTTTCTTGGAAGCTGGGGTGTGACTTGCCCAAGGTCACCCAATGGGTTTCCATAGCTAAGAAGGGATTCAAATCTCCAGTCATAGTCTAATGCTCCAATACACCACACTGGCTCTTTCCTGATATAAGCAGCATCCAAAGTTAAGTTTGCCTATCTCCAAAAGAAGGATATAGACAAGACATATGTATAGACTTATTTGATTTCTTTGATAGTCTTCGTGAGAAGTGATTTAAAGTAGTCACAACAGTTATCCTATACAAATGTTAATGCTTAACCCCAAAATCCTGTGTCATTATTGTAACTCCAGTATCTGAGATATGTCATCATAGCTATATCAGACAAGGGTTCCACACTTATCTACCTTCAAAGCCTGGCACTGCCCTGCTGAAGCTTTCCAAGACTCTGGAGACCACTGAGCTAGGAAATGATGTTGGCAGGATGCTCCCACTGTGACATGCCTTGAGAACAAGCAGATGGAGAGAACGCTTGGGGTCCTATCAGAACTGCTTGTTCCGAGGCACCCCATGATTGGAAGTGTGCTGCAGATGTCATTTCCCAGTTCCCTGGTTTACAGAATCCTGGAAAGAAATCGGTTATGGAACTGCCACATTTTGCAGAGTCCTGCAGTTCATGAACATAAATTTGACTCACCAGGTATCACGAGTCCAGCTCATGATATCGTAATTCCCTCACAGAATGCCAATCAAAGAGTACTGAATACACCAGATACAGTTATAACAGTATCTTTCTACAATAACTGTCATGATTCTATCCTACAGTGTCCTGGAATGTGTTGTTTATAAATTAGACTTCTCTACTAGAGAGTTCTAGTGCACTGTTCCAGCTATAGCAGAGAATTCTAAATGCTTCACCAGCCTACAAATCCCAGGACTCCCTAGGAAAGAGTTATGATACCTAACAGGGTATTAAGGTAAAGCAAAAGGTTTTCCCCTGACATTAAGTCCAGTTGTGTCTGACTCTGGGGGTGGTGCTCATCTCCATTTCTAAGCCGAAGAGCCAGCGTTGTCTGTAGACACCTCCAAGGTCATGTGGCCGGCATGACTACACTGAGCACCGTTACCTTCCCACCAGAGCGGTATCTATTGACCTACTCACATTTGCATGTTTTCAAACTGCCAGGTTGAGGTGGCAGTTTAACCCACTGCACCACCTGGAGCTCAGTGTTAAACACAGTATTAAACTACTATAACTGTGATGCATATGGTGATGCACATAGTAAAACAATACAAACAATATAAAACAACATATTCTCCCAAGAAGAACAAATTGTCAGATACAATGAACTAGCATCATGCCAATATTTAAGCATTGGCTAATTCCATCCCGTCAAGTTAAGAAGGCTGTGGAAGGGCCATCTTAACTTGTTATCAAAGAATAATACTGGGGACAGGTGGGTCTTGCTGGGGAGAACATTCCCTTAAGAAAAGCACAACAACCAAAAAGACTGAGGAGCCTGGGCAAGCATTAGCGTTGTAAGCCACCTTTGGTTCACTTGCAGAGAAAGGTGGGATACAAATATTTTAAATAAATAAAAATAAATAAATCAGTGGGCACCAGATGCTAATGCTTATTAATTTGCAGCATGGATGCTACTGTAATATGATTCCTTCCCATGCTTCTTAGCTGTATTACTGATATGAGTGCCACATTGTGAAAAGAAGCCATGGCATGAACTTAGCAATATTGGAAGAAACCATAGACAACAGCCACAATGTTGCTAAAGATAAAATGAGAAAGTCTGTGTATCATCTTCTATCATCTTCTATTGTCCTGAACAGACAATAAAAATACATTCATAAGCCCAAGAGAATTTGGATTGCATTAGTTCAGGCCATTCCACATCAGCAGCAACGTGGACAGAAAAACATGAACATGAAATTGTCTGAACTTTATTCTTTCTGTTTTGGTTTCTGGAAGCTTTCAGACACAAACTTGCTATTTACAGCAGCAACAACAAAAAATAGTGTCATATCCAATGCAGTTATGAGCTGTTAGGGAAAAGGTGGGCAATGCATCTCTCTCCCTATGCTACTGGACTAGAGCTATCATCATCCTTCACTATTGACAATGCCTGCTATGTGCAGCTGAGGTTGAAGTCCAACATCATCCCTAGAGCCACAAGTTGCCCACCTCTGTACTATGAACATAAAACAATTAGCCAAAAGAATTTAGGTGTACTAAGCCTGCTTTCAATTGAACATCTAATACTGAAATACTTTGGCCAATGTGATGAATGTGTCATAATGTGAAAAAGTTTCATAACTGCCCAAATGTTGTACCCATTCAATCACTGTACTTACTGTCCACTGCTCCCCTGACAGTTGAAAAACAAACTTGTTTCTTTTTTTCTCTGTCTCATTCAACAAGGCAATCTTTGTTGCAAGTGGTGAGTTCTTTTCAAGCTTATCCAAAATTCTGTTAGCATCTATAAAACCGTTATTCAGATATGCAGCTTGTGGAATGCCTTTTCTTCTGCATTCTAGCATAACGTCCCATTCTTGCCTTATCCTGAAACAGGACAAATGAAAACATTTTTCTTTCTACCTCTCCTCAACAAAAATACGTGTAGTTACATCACTCGTTGCTTTCCCCTTTATAGGCAGTACTATTTAATAACACAGCAAGAAGTTGTGGCTATCTATGCAATAGTCAGAAGTAAAAAAAATCATAGTAATGTATGGAACATTTGAGTTTTGGCCATTGTCCTGGATCAGTATCTGATGTATTCGAAACACCAGAACACCTCCATGCCATGAGTTCCATAGCCAAGGTCAAGTCAATGAAAACATTAGGAGGTCCTGCATAGAAACCAAGATAAAGGTCAAAATGCATGGACTATTCCCTCAAAGTGTTTACAAGAGATAGTCCTGTTACTGTCTTTCATTACCTTATCACATGGAACTTTTTAAGCATCCAAGGATGCTTTGCTGCCACCCCAGCTATGGGTGGGCACACTGCCAACAGAGGTCCCACCCACAACTGGAGTGGAAGCATCATACCTCACCTTTTCAGTTACTTTTAAAATACCCTGTTTTCTCTCTCCTTTTTCCATTTTCCTCCTTCATCCTTACCTTACTTCAGTTGGTTCAAACATATTTCAAAGTGAAAAAAAAGTTTGCACTCAACTCAGCAGACTCAGGCATAAGTAAATCGCTGCAGCCTCTCCTAGACTCTTCCACATTAATAACCTTTGGTCTTCTGTTCACACATGTGATGCCAGAAATTTGAGGTTTTTCAAAGTCCCGTAGGTACCAAGGGACTCCTTGCAAGCCTCGCTAACTGTGGATGTTTCAGGATGGAAATCAGGAATCTTACCAGGTTGAAGGCAAAAGACAGGGTTGTTTATTCAGAAGGGGCACTTGTACATGAATGGGTGCTCAAAGGGCACAAGCACAAAGTATAATAGTAAAACAGACATCTTTATACACTAGAGATCTCATATGTTAACACGGATACATTTTGAACCTCCCTCCCTTCCCCCAATGAGCCACTGCTGAAAAGCCAGCCAGCACTTTTCCAGGCCTCTGATTGGTTTAGAGGCAGTGCATGCCCTGATTGGTGGAGGTGGTGATTATGCAGTTTGGGATCTCTTCTACAGCCAATGAGAGTGTAATCAAAGGGGGCCAGGAGCAATTTGCCGCCTCCCCCCCCCTCCGCCCCTGCCTCCCGATAAGTTTTTGTTTTATTTTAAAGCTTTTAGGGGGAGATTTATGGAGCGAATGGGTTCCCTCTTCACTTCTCTGTGCCCACAGGGCCTGAAGAAGTAAATTGGGCTGTGGAAACAGACTACTGGGTAGTCTGTCCCCACAGGGCCCATGCTCCTTTAGATCTGTGCCTTTCAGAAAGGCCCGGGTCTAATGGTGTATTTAAATAATTTGTGACAAAATAGGGTTTTCCTGCTTTGTCACATATTATTCCTCTTTTACTGGAGGCGTTGTTTAGGCCCTGTCCTGATGAGCCCTATGTCTCATCTCTGGTTCCCCTACAGTGTGCGGGAAGAGTATCCAGAATTGCTCAAGAGGTTGCTCATGACATTATTATAGTTCATGAGTCCATGTACATTTGCCTTCTATTTCATGTAAAACAAGGTAATAATAATGACAATAATAAAAATATAGAAATATAAAAGAGTTCATGTGATGTCTTAATATAGCTTTCCAGATAGAAAAGGGGATGAAAGAAGAGGGGGCCCATTGGGGCTGCATGCAGGGCATGAAAGGTTTTTTACCTTATTTGTTTTAATTCATTCCTCTGCACTCATACACACATTCACGTAAGGAGAAAAAGAAAAATAAATATAGAAAGATACTTTGTGAAGTAGGGGGTCTGGAAATGGAAGTATATGAAGAGCAGTTGTAGCAGTTTGGGTTGGGAAAGAGTGGGATCATGAGGGCAATCTCCATCAAAGCTCTGGAGGTTCGCTGCTGCGGACCAGCTCATGCTGAATAGCTGAGCCAGGATGTGTGTATGTGTGGGAAGTTGTGGACTGTGGAGTTGAGGTTGCTGTTGGTCCTGGGAGGCTCGAAGGAAGCTGCAGGGTTGGTGGCCATTGTAGTTCATTTGGGCCCTCCATTCTTGGAAAACTATGTCTTCCTTGGGATAGACCAGTGTCTTTCTTTTATTAGGAGTGGGGGTGGTCCTATTCGACAACATATGGATGTTGTTTATCTACATGTGTCTTGTTTGTTCTTTTATCTGTGATATAAAGGAGTATATGTGATTGTGTGATATAACTGTACTTTGATTTAGCTATGCTGTATATTTCTGTTGTAATTTTTTACCCTTGTCTGCTACATGGATATGTTGTATATCACAAATGGTATGGAATATTTCTAAAATAAATTTTAAAAACAATATATACATATATTAAAAAGTACTTTCATTTTATTGCATAGAATGCAGATTTAATAGCTACAAGCCTCTGTGCCATTAACAGGTCATACAGCTGAGCCACTAGTATAGCAACCAGGGATCTTCTGTTTTTTGACACACCGTTTTGGCACTAAAGAAATGTTGCATAGTAGTAATACAGTTTTAAATAGACATAAGCCAAAGGTCATCTACTCAATGCCTCTTGTTGAGAGTGACTTTGCTGGTGGAGTTTCTAATGTAAACATGAAAAGATCACCAGCACAGCAGGGAATTCATATGAGCAAGACAATGGCTATTTGGAGAGGTCATGCAGGCATTACTGTGAAAAGCAACAAAATGTCACCCTAATATCACCAAATACAAATAGGCCCAAGAGAATTGTGCACTGCAAGTTCTCTATAAGCCTTCAGTAAGCCAGAGCTGCTAATGAGATGCAAACACTTTTGAAGAGATACAAAAGAGGGAAAGTAGCTAGGAGGTGAAATACACACAGAAACTTTAAACATATGGTGAGACTGATAGAGAAAGAACTAAAACCAGAAAGAACTCCATACAAAATCAAGCTCAAAACATTAGGTTTAAAAATTAATTTGAAAAATGATAAGCATTAAAATGGAAAAATAATTAACTGCCACTAATACTAATAACATTAGGAATGGTCACCTAGAAGACTCTTTCTTCCATTGCTCCTAGATTATTGAATGACCTGCTGGAAGAGATTTGACAGCTGAGAATGTTGTTTGAATTTAAAGTAGTATTAAGGACCAGTCTTTTTTAGCAAGTCTATTCAAGTTATTTTTAGATTATGATTTTTCAATCATGTATTTTAAATTATGTACTGTTTGTTTTAATATGTGTTGGTTGTATAAGTTCTTTTAAATTGCTATTTCAGCTAGGTAGCTAGAAGCCGTGGTGGTGTAATTACCCTTGTGCCAGCTGAACTGCTGACCTGAAGACTTGAAGGTCAGTGGTTCAAATCTGTGAGACGGAATGAGCTCCCGTCTGTCAACCCCAGCTTCCCAATCGCAGACATGAGAAAACCCTCCCACTGGTATCCCCCGGACAACATCCTTGCAGATGACAAATTCTCTCACACCAGCAGTGACTTGCAGTATATTCTCAATTCGCTTCTGACATGATAAAAAAAACTAGACAGAATATATGTTATGTGTGTTTAACTGATTGAATATGTGGTATTATGTAAAATATTATTGTTCCCCCACTCAATTCATGGGGAGAGGTAGATAAGAAATAACAACAACAGCTACTACTACTTCTACTATTTAAAATCATTTAATTGAATGAGTTGTCATTATCAAATTGCTATTAAAACATTAGTTTCATGGTTTTTTTAATTTTCAAGGTAGACTGTGAATTTTATGGGGAATAAAGGTGAAGTTGTCATCATTGACTTTAGTGGCTCATTTTGTTATTGTTATCTTTTCTTTAGTTGTTTTTTTGTTTTTGTTTTTTGAAGTTGCCTCTTCAAGAAAAAGCATTAACATTTGTTTTAAAAAATCATACAGAGAACTTGGTGATAATTTTGTCCATTATTTTGAGCATGAAACAAAGTTTGTGTACTTGTATCAGAAAGCAAAGGTGTCACTATCTCAACTGCAATACAACTGTCTTGGTTCGCTCCTGACATGATAAATAAATAAATACTATCTCATCCACACATGTATATAATTCCAGATTTTAGAGTGCATTGGATTCCAGAATTCTGCATAAGGGATATGCAGCTTGTAATTCAAAAACCATCAGAATAGGCTGATGTTTTCCCCTCCTCCACTCCACAAGACCTGAGTGTATGGGGTGGAAAATACAGAAGAACCCTAACCCTAACCCATAGGCAACCTGTGTCCAAACCATGTAGGGCTTTAAAGGTAACAACCAATACTTTGTACATTGCCCAGTAACTGTGTGACCCAATGAACAAGGGGTAAGGGAAAAACAAAATAAGATGGAATAGAAAAGAGGGGGTGAGGGGAGAGATAAAACCACAAGAAAAAGAAATAGTAAAAAAACTTCCGTCTGAATTATGCAGATAGTCAGCACTATGTGAGCAATAAACATACCAAAGGACTACAAAGATGTCCAATAGGATCTGAGTAAGCATAGAGGTGGCATGAGTTTAGCTAAATGAAGCTGCAACCTCACCAAGGCCTTATCTAAACTGCCATATAATGGAATTTCAAACTTCATTATATGGACAGTGTACGCTAGCACTGTGTGATCAATGAAACAAATGTTTCAAAACTCATTACAAAATTAGTGGACATTGACATTTTGTTTCTGAAGTGCTTCTAAAGTGCCCTTAGTGAATTTTTTTTGTTACTATAACATGAGTAACAAAATTTCATTCCTTTTTCATAATAGTAATTGTGCAAGTGGAGAATCTTCAGGGGCTCTTTTCTCCCTCAATTTAACAGCTATTGGGGTGAAACTTCCTACAATGGTAGAACACATTTACCACTATTATCCCAACAAGTTTCCAAATGTTCCACTAACCTATGAAAAAATGCTTTTATAAAGAACATTTCTTTTAAAACAAACTACAAGAGCAATTTCCTTGGATTTTCTATACAATGACATAAGATAATAGGGGATCATTCTCCCCAACTTTCAAAAATATG